CGCAAACTGTAAATCCGCTGAAAACGAGCTCCCGGGAAGGCTACTCTGTGCTCCCGGGAAGCAGATTTGCGTAACAATGAAGCAAGCGTAGATCGCCTTTTTGAGATGTTAAGAATATTTTATCCCTGCGTGCTCTTTTGTCTCGTGCACTCACTTTAACGTATTGGTCGTTTGTGTTCAGGAAAATGAAGTATGGAAAAAGGAAAATTCAGTGAGTGAAAAAAAATAAAGAAGTGAAGCATGTAAACAACAAGACGGCATCTACTTTTCTCCATTTCAAAAAAGGCGTTTCCACACAACCTCATGAGTAAATATTAGTTCCGAAGATAGACATAAGGCTTGTCAGCATCTTTGATTACAAGAAATGCATTAGGAACTTAGATTATAAAATAATTTGTCACACCTGATTCAAAGGAGTGAAGTGAAGTTAATATTAAACGGTTTCTTAGTGATTATCCGGAACAACTTCTATTAGCAAATTGGTGCTTCCCCGATTATTTCCCTGAGATTCTTCGGAAAACGCACTTCAAACGTGCGGAGCACATTTCAAGTGTTTATTCTAAGAATAAAAATACAATTAAAAACTTCCATACAATTTTCATTTATGCATTGATGAAATGTTCAAGGATTCGCACAGAACTATCTACATGTTTAGAATGGAATCTAGGAATGGACTATTTACTATCGTGTATAGAATGCGCTATGTTCTGAATAAATTATATGATGCTGTGTATGTATGAATGGTATTTGTTCCCACGATGAATCGTGCTGTCAAGGTTGGTTTAGCATCAGAAGTTCATGCTGTCAAACTGGCGTTATTGTTTTCATCCAGTCTCCACAATAATAGCAGCATAGAAATGTATAATTCGGGGGTATCACACAGTTGAAGAAGAAGAAAAAAAGGGGGGTCATTAATCAGCAAATCGTTTCCCACCGCAATCAGCATAATTATTAATTGCTTCCGGCCGACCTCAATTGTCTTCTCTCGTTTACGGTACCACAGTGATAATTTTACCCCTACTGTCTTAACCGTTCAAGTAAACGCGAGCGTCTGTTTTTACATCCCATAGGTCTGACAGTCTTTTCAGTTCCTGATTTTCTTGAGACTACGGTTCATGATTAACCGTATCCAGACCGTCTGTACCTACGAAGACGTTCTGGATACAGTTTTGTATAACATCGACTCGACAGATGGCGACGAGCTCTTGTCCAGATAGGCCGGGCGGGAGCAGTTAGAGGCCTGCTGGAATTATTATCATGCAAACTGCATTATTTGTACAGGTAAAACGGCATGGGTGCCATCGAGAAACGCTTAAACATGAAACACACCCACGCATGCGGTATAAAACGGGGCGTCAGTGAGTGTTTTCGGTTCATGATTAAACCTCACACGCACGAATCAGTGTGGATAAAACAGGGCGGTCTCAGCACACCTTCGGGATACGTATAAACACGAGACACGTAATCCCATGCGGATAAGACAGAGCGCCAGCGGAATATGCTTAAACAAGAAACGTGTAAAATAAGGCGTCTATGGACGTTTTAATACACAAAACGCGCCAACCCGTACGACCAAATCAAGGCGTCTACGGACCCTTTGATGTATGGTTAAACACGAGACACGCGAACCCGTGCGAGCAGACGTGCCGATGCTCCGAACGAACGTAAAGGCCCATTCACAATGCAAACATAAAACATAGCGTGGCGTTAGCATAAAAGTTAGAACTACGTCTACAAGCGGACTCATTCACTATGCGTTCGCATAAGCATAAAAGCTTTCAAGCTTCTATACTTATGCTTAAGTAAGGCATAGGAAATGAACCAATCACAGTGCGTTAACTCAAAATCCAGAATTGAAGTCGATAGACGAACAAACCCCGTATGGGCCATGGACACATTCCATACCTCGAAATCGATTTTCACATCCAAGCAATAGTAAACTAGAATAATGAAAGTTTCACAGTCAATAGAAACCATTATTTTGCTTACGTTTATGTTAGACATTGTGAAAATTGCAGTCTATTACTTATGTTAATGTTGGCCCATGCGTTCACAGTCACTAGAAACTCTCATTTTGCTTACGTTTATGTTAGATATTGTGAATACTTCCGTCTATTACTTATGTTAATGTTGGCCAATGCGTTCACAGTCAATTGCAACCCTTAATTTGCTTACGTTTATGTTAGGCATTGTGAATACTCCAGTCTATTACTTATGTTAATGCTGGCCTATGCGTTTTGCTAATGTTAACGTTTAAATTGTGAATGGGCCTTAATCCTGTGCATTCGGAACGCGCTGCAGGGAGACGGGTGGCCGAGGGGCCTGCGGCGTCGCGTCCAACCGCGTGCATCGTGGGCGAAGCCTGCAGCCTAACGGAGAAACCCGCCGCCTAAGCCTCCTGCGCGGCCGAGGGAATTGGCGAAGACTGGCCGCGCGACAAGCGGACCGGCCCGACCTGCTCCGTTTCAGGCCTCGGCCGACCGCAAGGCGCGGAGCCAGTGCAAGTGGAAGCCTTCTTAAAAGGCAGCTCGTGGGAACCGCAGTCCAGAGATGCAGCGTGCTGTACATAAGTTCGCTACTTCGCGATGGAAACACGCTTTGATAACTTGTCAGTGCCTTACAGCATAGAGTATTGTTTCTATTATCTCCATTCGTATACTAAATTTTAACGGAACAGGAAAAATTTAACAGTCATTTGACGAATACAGAATCCAGTACCAAAGTACGCTACTTTGCGATGGAAACACGCTTTGGAAACTCATCAGTGCCTTACAATATAAAGTGTTTTTTTCTATTATCTCCATTCGTATACTAAATTTTAACAGAATAGGAAAATTTTAACAGTCAGTTGAGGGATAATAGGGTTACTTCGCGATGGAAATACGCTTTGGAAACTTATCAGTGCCTTACAATATAAAGTTGTTTTTTTTTCTATTATCTCGATTTGAATACTACTAATATACTATTTGAATTTTAACAGAACGGGCGCGGACAAAAGTAACGCAGGCTCGCTCTTTGGAACGTCAGTCGAGGGATACATAATCCACTACATAAGTACTTCTTGATGGAAACACGATTTGGAAACTAGTCAATGCCTTACAATATAAAGTCTTTTTTCTATTCTTTAGATTCGAATATTAAATTTTAACAGAACGGGATGTAAGTAAAGTAGACTCGCTCTTTGAAGCGTCAGTTGAAGGATACAAAATCCAGTACATAAGTACGCTACTTCACGATGGAAACACGCTTTGGAAACTTATCAGTTTCTTACATCATTTTTTTATTATTTTGATTTGAATACTAAATTTTAGCAGAAAGGACGGGGATGTAAGTATGGCAGGCTAGTTCTTTAGAACTTCTGTCGACGAATACAGAATCCACTACATAAGTACTCCACAATGAAAACACAGGATTTGAAAACTACTCAGTGCCTTAAAATATAAAGAATTTTTTCTTTTATCTAGATTCGAATATTAAGTTTTAACAGAACAGGCACGGATGTAAGTAAAGCAGGCTCGCTTTTTTGGAACGTTAGTCGAGGGATACAGAATCCGACACACAAGTTCGCTACTTCACGATGGAAACATTCTTTGGAAACTTGTCAGTGCCTCTCGTCTTTATTGATGAGTTATTAAATCAAATCAAATATCCAAAGTAAAATTAAGTTTCGAAGTCAGCTAACGACGTAATTTTTTTTCTATTATCTCGATTCAAATACTAAATAGAATGGGTGAGATTGATTCTCATTAAAATGAATGTTTTTGCTTTAATAAAATCGTTGCAATAAAAATACTTTGACGTCTTTTGTATTCTTACGAAAGGCCGATTATATATTCAGATAACAACGAACAAATGCATGTAATAAAATTTGGTTCTTTGTTTTGTATAAAATCCATCTGATTTCGAAAGAATGTTTTTGAGTGTTAGTTCATTAGTGTCAAGTTCATTTCAGATTAAGTCACGTAATTGTATTTATATTGTAAACAACGTTTACGCGCAATTGTATAAAATCAATTACTCCAGTATTCATACAAGGAATTTGCATTACGTAAACCTGTGGCACTTCATTATTTTATGAAAGTTTAAAAGTAGCTACTGAACGTATTGTCCAAATGATTAAATCGTAGGACAATATTATGAGAGTAATCGTCGTCGTGATTTTTAGAATTCGCTGATTTTTTAAGTACTAGAATTTTGCACAATGGAAAGTTCCGATTCCGAAGTCGAGATTTTAGAACGACACTTCGTGTCACATGTTCAAAAAAAAGTCAGGTTTACAAATAAGATCGTATTAAAACATAATTTGTTTTTTCCTGGAGATTTTGAGTCCAAAACTGATATATTTACTCTTTAATACACAGTTAACGGGACACTTAAACGAGTTTAAGCCGGTTGCAGCATCACTCGAATACAGTGATATGTGGTATGATTGCAATGCAACATATACATTACGGGGCACATATTAAATGTTTTAGTAGCAGCCAGTTAATTTAAAATGTTGACACATTGTACATGATAACATAAACGCATAACGAACAAGAAGTTGTGTATTAACATCGTAACAGAAATAAATACTGATAAATTCGTATTCAAGACATTTCCATCCTTTAGCAAGACAATTAAAGCACCACCAAACCATTAGAGACAAAAGCACATTTCCAATCACTATTTCTTCCACTGAGGAGACACATCGCCAGCATTTTGATTAAGTCCAGGAGTTTGAAACGTTTTAATCGATGTTATTAAAAACAAAACAAAGAATATGAAATGCGTTTTGCTCAATGACACAAAGCGCGTATTAAACGGCGAGTCAGCCCTCCACAACAGGTTGTTAGGAAACCGCCAAGTTAAACACGCGCGTATCGGTTGTAGAAGAGATAGCGTTGGATGTGACATACGGACGCCGGCGACAGCACCGGTGTCCTCCGGGACCAATACCACGCCTGACCACGCGTTGCTTCCCCGCTGCTAACCCCGGGCGCCGCCGGGCACACACTCACCTCCGCTGGGGCGTCGAGCCGTCGTCGGCAGCTCGCTCTCTCTCTCTCCCTCTCCAGGCACTGTCTTGCAAGCACTCCACCACCAACCCCACCACACTCACTCACTGGCACGGGCCCACTCTCCACTGCGCGAAGCCAGGCAAGAACGGGGTCCTCCGTGGGACGGCGTTGGCGGCGAGCGACCTGCACAGCTGTGGCGGCCGCCCGCCCAACCCGCGCCGCTATATACACGCGGCGAGGTGCCCGCGCCGCCGGCGGC